TGTTACAGTGTTTCCTCGATCAGGGAAACTGATCGAGGCTAATTCGATAGTCTTAAATTATTATACTATAAGAAGTCTTTACACTGGACAACTAATGGTCGAAAATCTGGGCTTAAATTCTGGGTGGGATGAGCCCTCGTGAGCCTCGTGACTCTTAGGGCCACGTGACTCTTGGGGGCCACGTGACTCTTGGGGGCCACGTGACTCTTGGGGGCCACGTGACTCTTAGGGCCACGTGACTCTTGGAGCCACGTGACTCTTGGAGCCACGTGACTCTTGGAGCCACGTGACTCTTGGAGCCACGTGACTCTTAGGGCCACGTGACTCTTGGAGCCACGTGACTCTTGGGGCCACAACTCTTGCCTTACACTCTTGATAATACCTCGCGAGTTGTTAAAGCCACGAGCAAGAGTAAACAAGCCCATCTAGCTGAGTGCATCACGGTAAGTACACTCACAGATCGAACACTTACACACTGAGTCCCCAAATGAGCCACAGGGACGTTAAAAAGAACTTTTTCAGTGTCAGAGTAGTTAACAGGTGGAATGCATTAGGCAGTGATGTGGTGGAGGCTGACTCCATACACAGTTTCAAGTGCAGATATGATAGAGCCCAGTAGCCTCAGGAACCTCTACACCTGTTGATTAACAGTTGAGAGGCGGGACCAAGGAGCCAAAGCTCAACCCCCGTAAGCACAACTGGGTGAGTACAACTAGGTGAGTACACACACACACAAGTCTAGACAGGGAAGAATTTTGAACAAATTATGAAGCAGTTATTCCTAGAAGTGCAGGGAGAGGCGGCCATGTTGGGCATCCTCTTGCCTGAGGGAGAGACTACCAGTAACACTACCAGTAACACTAACAATACTACCAGTAACACTGTAACACTACCAGTAACACTAACAATACTACCAGTAACACTGTAACACTACCAGTAACACTGTAACAACACTACCAGTAACACTGTAACAACACTACCAGTAACACTGTAACAACACTACCAGTAACACTGTAACAACACTACCAGTAACACTGTAACAACACTACCAGTAACACACTAACAACACTACCAGTAACACACTAACAACACTACCAGTAACACACTAACAACACTACCAGTAACACTGTAACACTACCAGTAACACTGTAACACTACCAGTAACACTGTAACACTACCAGTAACACTGTAACACTACCAGTAACACTGTAACACACACTACCAGTAACACACTAACAACACTACCAGTAACACACTAACACACACTACCAGTAACACTGTAACAACACTACCAGTAACACACTAACAACACTACCAGTAACACTGTAACAACACTACCAGTAACACACTAACAACACTACCAGTAACACTGTAACAACACTACCAGTAACACACTAAGTAACAACACTACCAGTAACACACTAACAACACTACCAGTAACACTGTAACAACATTACCAGTAACACTGTAACAACACTACCAGTAACACTGTAACAACACTACCAGTAACACTGTAACAACATTACCAGTAACACACTAACAACACTACCAGTAACACTGTAACAACACTACCAGTAACACACTAACAACACTACCAGTAACACACTAACAACACTACCAGTAACACTGTAACACTACCAGTAACACACTAACAACACTACCAGTAACACACTAACAACACTACCAGTAACACTGTAACAACACTACCAGTAACACACTAACAACACTACCAGTAACACTGTAACAACACTACCAGTAACACACTAACAACACTACCAGTAACACTGTAACAACACTACCAGTAACACACTAACAACACTACCAGTAACACACTAACAACACTACCAGTAACACTACCAGTAACACACTAACAACACTACCAGTAACACACTAACAACACTACCAGTAACACTGTAACAACACTACCAGTAACACTGTAACAACACTACCAGTAACACTGTAACAACACTACCAGTAACACACTAACAACACTACCAGTAACACACTAACACTACCAGTAACACACTAACACTACCAGTAACACTGTAACAACATTACCAGTAACACACTAACAACACTACCAGTAACACACTAACAACACTACCAGTAACACACTAACAACACTACCAGTAACACTGTAACAACATTACCAGTAACACACTAACAACACTACCAGTAACACACTAACAACACTACCAGTAACACACTAACAACACTACCAGTAACACTGTAACAACATTACCAGTAACACACTAACAACACTACCAGTAACACACTAACAACACTACCAGTAACACACTAACAACACTACCAGTAACACACTAACAACACTACCAGTAACACTGTAACAACATTACCAGTAACACACTAACAACACTACCAGTAACACACTAACAACACTACCAGTAACACACTAACAACACTACCAGTAACACACTAACACTACCAGTAACACTGTAACAACATTACCAGTAACACACTAACAACACTACCAGTAACACACTAACAACACTACCAGTAACACACTAACAACACTACCAGTAACACTGTAACAACATTACCAGTAACACACTAACAACACTACCAGTAACACTGCAACAACACTACCAGTAACACACTAACAACACTACCAGTAACACACTAACAACACTACCAGTAACACTGCAACAACACTACCAGTAACACACTAACAACACTACCAGTAACACTGTAACACTACCAGTAACACTGCAACAACACTACCAGTAACACACTAACAACACTACCAGTAACACTGTAACACTACCAGTAACACTGCAACAACACTACCAGTAACACACTAACAACACTACCAGTAACACTGTAACACTACCAGTAACACTGCAACAACACTACCAGTAACACACTAACAACACTACCAGTAACACTGTAACACTACCAGTAACACTGCAACAACACTACCAGTAACACACTAACAACACTACCAGTAACACTGTAACACTACCAGTAACACTGCAACAACACTACCAGTAACACACTAACAACACTACCAGTAACACACTAACAACACTACCAGTAACACTGCAACAACACTACCAGTAACACACTAACAACACTACCAGTAACACTGTAACACTACCAGTAACACTGCAACAACACTACCAGTAACACACTAACAACACTACCAGTAACACTGTAACACTACCAGTAACACACTAACAACACTACCAGTAACACTGTAACACTACCAGTAACACACTAACACTACCAGTAACACTGTAACAACACTACCCCCACGAGGGCGTGGTCTGATTCATGGTTGGGCTTGAGCCTTATCAACCATGGCAGGGTTATTAAGACCACAACAATAGCAAGGATACTTTAGTCCTCAACACAATCCAAGATTAAAATATACTCTCAAGTATTCATAGTTACTGTATATTCATGGAGAAAGTGGTTTGGTCAATTCGCACAGTCCGACAAAGCTCATTTTCTGATGGTCAGAACCGATATACCGTTACGTTAGGGTGGATTCAAATTCAAATTTTTATTCAGGTAAAAAGTACATATATATAGAAGATGAGTTTCAAACATACTGTTGGATTTATAGATGGAGCTAGTACATAGAATACCTAAAGCCACTAATACGTATAGCGTTTCGGTTAGCTGATGATAGGCTGGGTTGGGTTTAGCCGAGCTGATGTTTATGTTAGTTTGCGCAAGATTTATGTTAGGTTGTTGTTAGGATATGTTAGGTAGGTTTTAAAATCCGTTGGTGATTCGTCTTTTTTGGAGGATGCTACATTTTCCCCGGGGCGTGGCCGGTTGGAGCCGGTGGTGGTGGCCGGATGGGACGCCCACTCTACGGTCTCTGTACCCAGCCTTCACACACCTTCCCTTCAACCAGCTTGATTTAACAAGTTCCTTCGCTAAATCAACAACCTCTTGGCCTTTCTACCGTCAGAATTCAATTTCATTCTAGATTACCATCTTTTCGAAGTTCATTCAGGCCTGTGATGTAATTCCCATTTCATATCACTTTCCACGCAACTGTATTCTTCTCTCACTTCAACGTTTATATTGTAAACAAAATATATGAATGTATATTACATAAATTATCAAGTTTCTCAGCATTGCGTGGACAGGTAATATATATACATTTATTTTTATACAGATGAGGAACGGAGATGACCTCTGCGTCCTCTTAAATTAACATCGAGGACCGGGCCCCGGGGACATTGATCCCCGAAATCATCGCAATCATGCTTTGAGGTATCTCTTCCATACAGCTCATTTTAAGCCTTATATCCTAGTAACTCTCCCTGTAGCAACCTTATATCCTAGTAACTCTCCCTGTAGCAACCTTATATCCTAGTAACTCTCCCTGTAGCAACCTTATATCCTAGTAACTCTCCCTGTAGCAAGGCCCCGTCAATCAGGCTACAGCCAGGTAACGATCCAATTTAGGATGGGTGCCCAGTTGTGCCTCCGTGCCCCGGGGGTCAAACCTGGGCCAGTATGGGTAGGGAGGGATGAGGGGAGCTGTCCACAACGCCACCGGATGGCTCTCCCTACTCTCTTTAACACTGCTCAACATTCCTGATAACACATTTAAATGTCTGCTAGTTAAATATCCTTGAAGTTTCTCGTAATGTCCACATATATATACGTAACCTGTATGTGTTTACTATTTGTGTCTGCAGAATCGAGCTATTAGCTCTTGGACCCCGCCTTTCTAACCAATCTATTTTCCTCTAAAAAAAATGTCTGCTGTCTGCTACATATATTTCTAACACACACATCCCCAGGAAGCAGCCCGTAGCAGCTGGTTAACTCCCAGGTACTTCTAGATGAACAGGTACATCAGGATGAAAGAAACTGCCCATTTGTTTCTGCCTCGGCCTGGATTCGAACCCGGGCCCTTAAGACTACGACCCCCGAGGGCTATCCACTCAGCCGCGAGGTGTGTGTGAGGTTTATCGCGTCAAGACCTACCCATAAAAATAAAAACATGTACTTACCATGTTGATGAAGAAAGTGGCTTTCAAACGTCAAAATAAATGATCAGCAGTTGTATATATTGATCTTAAGCACAGCAGCCGGTCTCCTTCTGTAGTACGCAGATATAATCACAAGTTTAACTCAAAGTAAACGTGATTAAACTAATTGTACAATTGAAATAGGTGTTGCCCGGGTGTGGTAGCTGAGAGCGCAGATCGACGTGTACGCCACCGATGCTCCAACCAGAGTGATCAGCTGACTGCCGCCGCGGGCCTTATATACCTTCCCTCCGTCTCTCCCACCCCCTCCAGGGGTCACGTGACTCTCCCGCCACATCATCAAAATTCACGGTAACGCGCGAAAATAAATGTAAACATCACCTGCCCCTGGAGACCTAGACGACACGTGGGCGTGTTTTGGGGTGACAGGTTGGCTTTCTGGCGCTCAGGTACACACTCACAGGCATTACCAATCGTCTTGCTACTGCTGCTGCTGCTGCTGCTTCTACTACTACTACTACTACTACTACTACTACTAGGCCTATAACATATAAACAGGGTAACATTGTCGTCGATGGTGGTATATAAGTATTGGTTCAGTAACAGTGTAGCAAAACCCTAATTGTATATTCAACCATTTGAACCAAGAGAAAACCAAAAATATTGCTGATGTGAGAGTGCAACTGTAGCATAACACAGCTGCTGTGTAAATACAGCTGTAGCATAACACAGCTGCTGTGTAAATCCAGTTGTAGCAGCTATAGTCAGTGCAGGAAGGACATTTACTGTTAAAAAGAGAACATCCAGATGGTGTTGAAGCTGAACCTTAGAATACAGGACTCTCCGGGAAAGATGTTGGTGGCTCCCGTGTAGCAGCTCCTATTTACACACACGTACTCAACCACTCATCTTACTGTCTAACTGATGCTTCAAACTCTCCAGAGTCTTTGAAGCTGTTAGGTAACTTGATCCCTTCATCTCCAATCCTATTTCCGGACCAGTTTTTGCTTTTCTAAATCTAAACTTAACCAATGTATAATCATTTCATTAACAGCAATCCGGGTAGCAGCCTCAACACCAAAGCCACCGAGTCTGATCGGTAGGGTCTTCTTCCACCTCAAGTATTGAGTGGAAGATGGAAGGGAAGATGGAATTATCAGGGAAAAGCGCCAAGCCATTACGACTATATAGCACTTGGAAGGGGTCAGGACAAGGATTTGGGATGGGATAGGGGAAAGGAATGGTGCCCAACCACTTGGACGGTCGGGAGATTGAACGCTGACCTGCATGACGCGAGACCGTCGCTCTACCGTTCAGCCCAAGTGGTTGGGCGTATTGAGTGGAAGGTTCACAATGATTTCTAACATAGTCTTCAGACAAAGGGCATATTCCTGAAGCTTTGGGATTTTGTAAGATGGGGCCCATCTCAAAAAGTAGGTTATCTTGAAATGATTTCGGGGCTTAGCGTCCCCGCGACCCGGTCCTCGACCTGGCCTCCTTTTTGTTACACATCCCCCAGGAAGCTGCTACTGTCTAGCTACCATTTACCTATTTACTGCTAGGTGAACAGGAGCATCAGGGCGAAAGAAAGATTATTGCTCATTTGTCTCCGCCTCCACCGGGGATCGAACCCGGAACCTCAGGACTACGAATCCGAAGCGCTGTCCACCCAGCTGTCAGGCGCCAGGTTAGCCAAGTTAGCCTATTGTGGCGTAGGCATCTATTGAGAAGACAAATACATTATCAGCATCAATGTCACGAATTATGTGTTCCATCTTTCTTTACGTAAACCGGGAGCCGGTCGGCCGAGCGGACAGCACGCTGGGCTTGTGATCCTGTGGTCCCGGGTTCGATCCCGGGCGCCGGCGAGAAACAATGGGCAGTTTCTTTCACCCTATGCCCCTGTTACGTAACAGTAAAATAGGTACCTGGGTGTTAGTCAGCTGTCACGGGCTGCTTCCTGGGGGTGGAGGCCTGGTCGAGGACCGGGCCGCGGTGACACTACAAATCCCTGAAATCATCTCAAGATAACCTCAAGATAAAGTCTTTTCCTGATTTCCTCCAAGATAGAATCTTTACAGTGAACTATGGTGCCATCGTCCAAAAAGCAGATGAGGAAGTCACTGGACAAACTCTCGGGGGATTTCTTTCATGACTAAACGAAAAAGAAGATGAATTCTGGGATCATCTTGCTGGACAATTTCACGTGATTTCCTATACACCAAAAAGTACCAGAGTCGGCACTGTAGCATGCGAGCACGAATGAGTCAAGAGGACGGAAGTGATATAACACGAAGCACTGCACCTTTTCTGACCATCTAACAGGCCTTTTTAAAGTCCAGTTTGATCAGAGACTTTTGATGAGAGATGTTGGCAATGTACGCCCGTGCTGCTTGAGCGGCTGGCTGCTCCTGGACCCTACGAGAGACCATCAAACCAAACTGATTTGGTTTCAGCGAGTCGGATACAGTGCTGACTGACTTTTGGTATGTGTATATATATGTGTGTGTGTGTGTGTGTGTGTGTGTGTGTGTGTGTGTGTGTGTGTGTGTGTGTGTGTGTGTGTGTGTGTGTGTGTGTGTGTGTGGTGTGTGTGTGTGTGTATACAGATGTGGGGAGGCATATATGTGGGAGTAGAGCAGCAGGGAGTGTGTGTGTGTGTGTGTAGGGAGATGTGAGAGAGTGTACCTGGTGACACATTACCTCGCCAGTCCGTCCTCCGCTCCAAGAAAATCTGCCGCAGAACGCATCAACCGTGACAGGAACCCTCATTTTTTACCGTCGATTTCCTGCTGGCGCGGCCAGATGACATGGACGACGGTGAAGAGACAGTCACGGAGTGGCTGTGTGTGTGGCTGCTAGCAGACCACAGGGAAATGAGAAAATAATTTAAGTACTGCATGGAGCGTCTTCAGAAAGAAGCAAGTTGATGAAAGCTGCCAGCATCAACAAGTTGATGACACCCGTGCTTAAGGGTATGCAGGAAGCACTCAAGTTATATCACATGTTAATCAATACTCCTGCAACAGTAACAACTATATAACAATTGGCTGGTGTTAAGCACTAGCAATGAATAAGCTTTTTTTTTAAAAAAAAAAAAAATGAATAAGCTGTGTGGTGCAAAAATTATTTGCAAAAGGACGGAGCACATTTTCCCCCATTAACCTAACTTGTTGATGAGATGTAACTGACTTGCCGGTGACAGGCAGACAACATATATATATATATACTGTATATATTTTGTCTTCCATTGTCAAAATAAGACAGGAAACCAATATCAAGTATCATAATGGAAAATTCTTGAAAACTGTAGAGGAGAGATTATCAGTCACTAACTGTAAATGAATAGGAGAAGATGAGAGAGAGAGAGAGAGAGAGAGAGAGAGAGAGAGAGAGAGAGAGAGAGAGAGAGAGAGAGAGAGAGAGAGAGAGAGAGAGAGAGAGAGAGAGAGAGAAAGAGACAGAGACAGAGAGAGACAGAGAGAAAGAGACAGAGACAGAGAGAGACAAGAGAGAGACAGAGAGAGAGAGAGAGAGAGAGAGAGAGAGAGGCAGAGAGAGAGAGAGAGACAGAGAGAGAGAGAGAGAGAGAGAGAGAGAGAGAGAGAGAGAGAGAGACAAAAGCATTATCACCGCCTTTCCCGAGTTTACCGGGACTCATATTGTAGATGTAAAAACAGTGTTGGGTAAGAGGGAAGCCATTACACTGGGTGAGAGGATATCTAGCAGACAGTAAACAGAGCGTCACTGTGAGAGAAGCGGGAGTGAAGAGGGGCAACAGGGGGCGATCCACGAGGTATAATCCTAGAACCTTTCTGTGGTTTTATCCATACATTAAAACATTGATTGTAACCATGATATATATGTACTTCAGCCTACAGTTTAGACCTATTGTCTTATGTATGACCCTCTGTCCTGCGTGACAGTGAATACCAGCATTATCCTCACTTTAATAAGACTCATAATCCTCAGATTAGGCAAAATTGTAATTAATTTTGTCAATAAAGATGTTAATGATAATAAAATGGCGTTTTATCAAACGACCAAACGAAGAAAGTAGACATATAAGTCAATATCAGTGGATAATGTAAATATAGAGGATGACTGTAGTAAGATGCAGAGGACTACTAAAAGTACTGCAACTCTTGGCCAAGTTGCAAAAAGCAATGATAGTTTAATGATTCCTAGAATTCAAGGCAATAAATGCAACATAATGACAATGGAAGCATGATATGCGTGACCACAAGAACAGTGTCTGGCCAACCTCTTCTCTTTACTTGCGAGCAGCCGCGTCCAACAGCCTGGTTGATCAGCCCAGCGACCAGGAGGCCTGGTCGACGACCGGGCCGCGGGGTCGCTAAGCCCCGGGAGCACCTCAAGGTAACCTCAAGGTAAGGTAAGGTAGCCACGTTCCCTAACCTAACCTGACACGTACAAACCCAAGCAACCCGCCTAACATATCGACTCCGATGCTTACAAAACGCAGATACTTGGCGGCCTTGGATACTTACTTGGATACTTACTTTCCACAGTAGGATGCATTTGTAACGTTGGTGACCATGACGTATAAACGTGACGAATCTTGAGGTTATCTTGAGATGATTTCGGGGTTTTAGTGTCCCCGAGGCCCGGTCCTCGACCAGGCCTCCACCCCCAGGAAGCAGCCCGTGACAGCTGACTAACACCCAGGTACCTATTTTACTGCTAGGTAACAGGGGCATAGGGTGAAAAACTCTGCCCATTGTTTCTCGCCGGCGCCTGGGATCGAACCCAGGACCACAGGACCACGTGTACAGTGTTCTGTCCGCTCAGCCACCGGCATGGTGCCATGAGTAAGTGTAGTCATCTAGATAGACTTCGGTGCCACGCGTCCCTGCAGTCATGAAGACACTGTAAAAGAAAAGATGTAGAAGTGCCCTGACCACAACATACAAGATACTGAGAGATAAAACTGGACTAGAACAGTCTGTTAATACAAGACAAAATAAATGCGTTAACGACTGAGTTGGACGATGGAGTTTTTTATTGTTATTTTCTACCACAGACGTGGCCACACATTTACAATGCTAACCAGCATATGTACATTTTCTTCTGTCCTCCATGGTCAGGGTTAGAGATCTGTTAAACATATAGTTCAGTGATTTATTAAACAATCAACCACAGAAGGTGATTGTAGTGCTTTTAAAATGTTAATCTAACCTACAAACATAAATACAGATTTACGTTTGTGCTACATGAGTGGTGGGTG